TGGAGATGCCTTCCACGGATTCTGGGCACACCTCATGGCAGCTTTTCATGAGCTTTCCTCTGTAAGGGGCTCCTGAAAAAGGTTATACATGGACAGATAGCAAGAGGATGAGGAGGAATGGTTTTAAACTAAAAGAGCACGTTAAATTGATATTATGAGGGAATTGTTCCCTGTGAGGGTGGGCAGGCCCTGGCACAGGGTGCCCAGGGCGGCTGGGGCTGCCCCTGGATCCCTGGCAGTGCCCAAGGCCAGGCTGGACAGGGCTGGGAGCACCTGGGACAGTGGCAGGTGTCCCTGCCATGGCTGGGGTAGCAGTGGCTGATCTTTAATGTCCCATCAACCCATCCCATGCCACAAATCTGTGATTCATGGCTGCTCATGCTTTGAGTTCTGTCTCACTTTTGCACAGTGAGCTGGGGTACCATTCTCCTCCAGTTTGCTTTTGGATGAATTCCTGTGGTCAGTTTTTCCTGGCTGGAGTGCCAGGACAATGGGAACAGCTGGTTTAGGTGTGAGGTGTGAGTCTGGTGGGTGACACACTGGCTGGTGAGAGGTGTTTTGAGCACAGTCTCCATCCCACACAACAGGCCTTCCCTCCCTGCACACCCTGCTCCTGAGTGAGCCATTCCCTATGGACATGATTTGAGTACTTTAGCTGTTGGGTCCACTTTTCCTGTCCTCCTTTTTCTGTCTCCCAGCTCATATTTCCCCCTCTTAGTTAAAAGGCAGTAGAAACCATTTGGGGCGTGGAGTTCTTGTGGTGCCCTGTGGCTGTGTCTGGCACAGGGATCCCTCAGAACCCTGGATCACACCTCAAGGCACCTCACTTGGAATTGAATTGGTTATGTTCTAGTGCAACTTTTACTGTTCCCATCCCTGCTGTGGCCATGACTGTGCCATCAGGTTTTAAAACCTGTCTGGAGGCTCCTTCTCCTCTGTTGAGGAATCCTGCAGCTGCTGGAGGCAGATGTGGGGACAGATGCAGGCAATTTCTTCTGCCTTCAGACAGCCAGAGCCTGGTTTTCATAAGGAGTGAGTTAGGCTGTGCATTTTGCTTTTCAAGAGGGTGGTTTGATGTGGCCAGACCAAATGCCTGCTTCTCCCAGCAGACTGAGCAGCTTCAGTGCAACTAGCATGGGCTGCTCCAATGAGCCATCACTCTGGTCTCATTTTGGGACAAGATTCAAAAGCTTTCAGCACTACTGGAACTTCTATCCTGGCTTGCTGTCAGAGGCTATGGTTCAGCTTTCTCCAGTTTTCCTAGGTTTTCTGAGCATGCCAGACTAAATGGTGCAGCACTTTTTATCAGGGTTTTATTAATTTCTTCCTCTCTCCTTGTGGTGGGTGATGGTCAGTCTGAGGTTCTTGAAATACCTGGTTTGAGCCCTGTTCCTACAGTAGACAGGTTCAGCCTCAGCTTTCAGGATGTTTTAGACATTACAGAATTGCTTCCCTCAATAAAATATTAATAAAAATCTGTATAAGCTGTGGTTTGCAGCAGTTGTTTCTTTCTATTAAACGACACCCGAGACAAAAAACCAGACCTAGACTGGCTGCCCACAAGTTGTTTTGTATATTTTTCTGTGTTGCTTTGACATCTGAACATTTTGGTACAATTTTCTCTGACAGGGATTTTTTATACATGTGTGCTCATGTCAGTATTGATACCCTGTCCTCTTGAAAGGCTACTGGGATTACTCTGCATATTCAGATTAACACATTTGGACATGGTGGTCTCTACTCAAGCATGCAGAGAGATGGATGGAAGGGGCTGTTGGAAGAATGTGAAGTTTATTCCAAAAGCCTCTAATTTTTCCTTTCCCGGCAGTAGTTTTGAGAAGGAAAATGGATTTAGCCTATTATAAGTTAGTGTAGGTGTACACAGGCTTTTCTAATTAACTCTTCTTCGTACTGCTAATTATGGGAGTGAAGGAGATGTTGTTTGGTTTCCAGGATGAGTCTGACATTTTAGACAGCCAAAGCCCCCCAATAAATTGCTCTAAGAGCATCTCAATAGAACAAAAACTTCAGTTTTCCAGAGGAAAGTTTCTTGTTCCCCAGTAAGGCAAAGCTGTCCAGCTTAATGCATTTAAAGAACCCAAGAAATACACACAAATTTCTTCCCCTAAAGGAAGTGAAAGAGAAGCACTGTATGCAACAATATCTTGGGTCCTACATCTGCAGTTCATCCTTTGTGAGCAGTTCATCCTGTATCCTACTATTGTCCTTCTATTTTTCTCAGTTTGAATTAAATTGAAGTGAAACCCCTCAAAATATATTGAAAACAATTGGTAGCAAAACTTCTGGAACATTTTGAAAAGGATGAATAGAAAAAGATAGTGTTTCACCTGTCTGGATTTGGTTTTAGGTAGGAAAGAGTATTTATGTTAAATTTAAATAAAAGCATTTTATTACACATGTTACATATATTTTGATCATGATAACATTGTAAAACAATTTATGCTACCTCAGACATGATTAGTGCTTTTGATTCAGACAATTTTTAGAATGTACAAATGCCTTTTTAGGGTGCAAAGAGGTGAAGTACTCTGGTTTCTGAAAAAAACCTCCAGAATTCTTGCAAAACAACAAAAAAAAATTGAAAAATTTTGAAGAACTTATCTCATACTACACTGCTTTTTCTTGCACAGCTGAGTGATAAGTGAATTGCTTCAGGACAGATTTATTTATGCATGTTTTTTACTTCTTGGAAGAGATGCCATGACCTTCCTTTTTCCAGTGTATTGTTTACTACTGCAGTAATCAAAATATAACAGCACATGTAATAGAATTAAATTCACTTCTTATTCTTTTTATAATCTGTACAAGGGGGAAAAATTTTACTTTATGACAGCTGTGGGAACTTACTCTAATTGTTTTAAATCCAAGCTTGTTTTCCAGGTTAGGTGTTGAATTCAACAGCTGTGGCTAATATTGGCCCCCTCCAGTGTGGAAGAGCACTAACACTGACTGAAATATAAGTAAATATTTACAGAAAAAAACACATTGTAGAGGATGTACATTACTGAAATTTTAGGAACCTCACAGTATTTAATAGCAAATATTAATTTTTTTATGAGTGCTATAACAAGCAGGAAGAATTTTAAAAGGAAAAGATTTGCCATCCCAAAGTTCCTTTTGTTAAATGCTGTGCTCAAACTCAGTAATGGAAAATGTTGTGATATCAAACAGTGAGGGATCCCTTGTCAATGATTTAGGGCCTCCATTCTGCTGTGTTTTGTTGGCTCTTTATCTTGTAAATTTATGTAATTCTCAGAGGAACAACCTTCCTAAAACCCAGGGTAAGAGGCAGCAAAGTGTCTGGATTTTGCTGCTTCAGTGTCAGTCTGATGAAGATTCTGCACAGGGAGAAACTGATTTCTCCTCTGCCTAACACTGGGAAGCATTTCTGATGTGGTGCTCTAATTTTGGCATCTGATTACACTAGGGATATTGTCCCTTTGCAGAGAAAAGCTGCCCAAGAGCTAAAGGAAAGACTGGTACCGTGGTTCCTGATACTGACTGGATTAAAGGCATTTATTTCAGTAATCTTAAAAAGGCCTAAAAAATAAAACATGTGTTAGCACACTAAAGTGACAGTTTTGATGGGAATTCTTCCATAAATTGATCTGGCAGATGGAGAGAAATAGTTCTGATGAAGTGCTACATGCTCCTTCAAGTCTTCCCAAAAGATGGGAAAAAAATCAAGACCTTAAAATAAATAAAACAAACTGAGTTTACTGAGTTCTTTGGCTTAGCATGAGTATTAGAAGCTCATAAAAAGTGCAGTTATCTTGCCCTCAGCAGCTGAATACTGTGCACCTGGGTACTGCTACACCTGTGTCTAAAAAAGGATATTAAACTGTTTCAATGCGGATGATTTGGTGGTTATGATTTGGCTGGTTTATGATCAAGCTGCTTTATAACATTATAACTTAAGCCAAACGAGCATGTCTTTGCAAGTTTATTGCCTCTGGGGCTGTGTTATCTGTCCAAGTCCCATGAGGGGTTTTGATGCCTTGAGAGGACATCTAGAAGAGAGGCTAGGCAGAATAAAGAAATAAAGTAGAAGTTTATTAAAAATGTATTAGTTTAGAAAAGGATTGTTTTGTCTAAGTAAATTGTGAGGAGATATAACACTTTATAGGAAGTTCAGAGTTATATACTGATGCAGTACAGCATCAGTATGATGTGAAAACTAAATCTTAAGGCATTATTCCCCTCCTTGTCAAGCCTCTACCTTGTCAAGTCTCTATTCTAAATATCTACTAAGAGTATGTATTTAACAATAGATACATATCTAACAAAGTAAATATCTAACAATAGTATATGTCTAACAATAGTAAATTTCTAACTGTAGTTAGATCTATAACAGTAGTAAATAACTAATGACAGGAAATATATAACAATAATAAATATCTAACAGTAGTAATGTTTTGCACAGTTGGCTATCGTGCCAACTGTGCAAAACATTACTATTATGAACAGTTCTTTAGGCACAGAAGGGGAATCATTTAAAACATCTTTTCACCTGAAGCAGTGTCTGTTTTTACACTTCCTTCAGAAGCAGAAGCCTTCTTAAACTAAAAATACTAAAACCCAGCATCTGGCTGTTTTTAGTGACCTGATCTTTCTCTGGCAGCTACTCGGACATCCTGATTGAGCGGGAGGTGCTGATGCAGAAGTACATCCACCTGGTGCAGATCGTGGAGACCGAGAAGGTGGCGGCCAACCAGCTCCGGCACCAGCTGGAGGACCAGGACACAGAGATCGAGAGGCTCAAGAAGTAGTAATGTTTTCCACAGTTGGCTATCATGCCAAGAACAATAATGATTATTATGAACAGTTCTTTAGGCACAGAAGAGGAATCATTTAAAACATCTTTTCACCTGAAGCAGTGTCTGTTTTTACACTTCCTTCAGAAGCAGAAGCCTTCTTAAACTAAAAATACTAAAACCCAGCATCTGGCTGTTTTTAGTGACCTGATCTTTCTCTGGCAGCTACTCGGACATCCTGATTGAGCGGGAGGTGCTGATGCAGAAGTACATCCACCTGGTGCAGATCGTGGAGACCGAGAAGGTGGCGGCCAACCAGCTCCGGCACCAGCTGGAGGACCAGGACACGGAGATCGAGAGGCTCAAGTCGGAGGTGAGGGCCAGCCCCACCAGGCTGGAGCCTTCTGCTGGGTGCGTGGCTGTGGGGATGCCTTGGGAGGCTCCTAGAGCAGGGCTAGACAGAGTTAAAGGAAAAAAGTAGGGTTTATTGAAAGGCCTTCAAAGGATGCACCTTGGGCAGTACAAGAGCCCAGCTGTGGCTCCCCTCCCGAGGTATAGCAGAATCAGGAGCCCCTGATGCAGGGAATGGTTGGCATCTCGCTCCATTGATTCAGAATGCTGAACAACTGCTTTATTAAAACTATGTTATATTATATTATACTATACTATATTGAAGACATACTACTCTAAAGAATACTAAAAACAAAATGCTACAGGAAAACCTGTGACTGTGTGAGACAGTCAGGACACAGCTTTGACCCAACAGGCCAATTAATATAAACAACCATCATCAGAATCCAGTTAAGAACTCCCTTCAGGTAAACAATGTCCCTAACACATTCCACATGTGCAAAAACAACAGGAGCAGAGAATAAAGATAAGAATTGTTTTCTCTTTCTCTGAGGTTCCTTGCTGCGATTCCCAGAAAATATCCTTGGGAAGTTGTGCCTGCCTGCTCTCTTCTATGAAGAGAGATGTGGCTACAAAGGTGCACCCAAGGTGGACCCAAGATGGACTCTGAGTCATGAGTTCTCACAGTTTTATAAGTTTTGGTCCATTTCCACACTGGGTTCATTGTTCGGTTCCAGCTCAGGTGGTGCAGTCCCACCCTCCCAGGTTGCTCTCCTCCATTCCCTGGTGGTGCAATCCCACCCTCCCAGGTTGCTCTCCTCCATTCCCTGTTGTTTGTACTTTTTGGGGCTGAAGCTGCAGCGGTGTCCTTGGTTCTGGGGCTGGAAAAGGATTGTTCTGTGTGCCTGAGCTGTGAGGAGAACTTGCTAATACTTTATATGAAGTTCAGAGTCCCACACTAATGCAGCACAGAGTCTGGAAAGTATGAAATCTCAAACTTTAGGCATCAGTGGTATTTAAAATTTCTGTAGTATTCTGTGAAAATGGCAGAACCCAGTGAGGTTAATATGTTACAGTCCCCCTGTGACTCCTTAGAATAATAATTTTTTTTGAAGTATTGGGGTGTGTTGGGCTGATTGGGTTACTTTTCCTGACATCCTGTCATCCTTTCATCCTGTTAAGATGACACACTGCTTTGCAGAGTGGATGCCACTGATTTCACTGTTTCCTCCCTGCCTTCAGGTTTGAGTTTGGCTGTGATGGTGTTAAGGACTGTCCCAGACTGCTCTGATTCCCTGGATGTTGTTAAAAACCTTGCTTCAGTCCCAGGCTGATAAAGCCCAAAAGGCACAGTTTGTTTTGGGGGCAGAACCTGCTGGTTCTGGGCCCCCCTTACAGCTGGACAGGGAACTGTGCTAGCCTGAAGTGCCCCAGTGCCTGTCCCCAGATGTTTGCTGGTCATTCTGTGCCCCTTCCACAGGCTGGGGGAAGGGGAAATTGTTGTTCTGGTAGTTCTCCAACCAAGAGTTTCCTTAACTCGAGGAAGCACTTAATGAGTGTTTGGTTTTGTCAGATTGTAGCACTGAATAAAACAAAGGAAAAAATGCGACCTTATCAAGGCAACCAGGAAGATGAAGATCCAGATATTAAAAAAATTAAGAAGGTAAACATGAGATCTTTTGTGCTTAAAGGGAGGAGGGTGGGATGAGGGGGTGTACTTCTGTTTTTTGGTCTAGTGTTTTTTGGGTTTTGTTTTTTTTTTTTTTTTTTTTTTTAAAGTATAGTCGAATAGCAAGTTTTCCGTTGCCCTGCCCCTACTTAAATCTCTTCAGTTACATGTATTGTAGTGCCACATTTAATCTTGTGATGTATTTGCATGAAATCCTTTATGGAACGTGTCTAGTTGCTGTCTTTTTCTGGAGTGTGCAGTTTAAGCCAGGGTCAGCACTGAGCTGGTAACTTGGTGTGAGTTTTCCTTTTTGTGTAAATTAACCAATGTTGCAGAAGCTGTGAATGCCCCTTTTAGTAGCAAGAGAGCTTTGAATCTGTATGCAATTCACTGTATTCTGTGTCTTGGTCATTTTGACAGTTGGGCCCCTTTTATTTAAAGTTTTTTTTTTCAGACTAAACTGATACCAGTGAAATTTTGCACTTCTCATTCAAGATGAATGATCTCCACATCAAGATCAGGGCACAGACATAATGAAATTTCCTGTGGCCAGATGTAGACCTCTTCTGTAATCTTTAATGCACTTGCAACTTCAATAAATATTGTGCTTAGTTAGATTTTTCCATGACACAGAGGTGCTTTTTAAGAATGCCAATAATCTGTCTTTTTGAATACCATGTTTGTTGCCTTGATGTCTGATACCAAGTAATGTATTGATAACAAGCTTTAAATACCCATACTAAGTATTATCTGTTCAAAATGGAAAGCAAACTGAGCTTAAAAAATCATTCAAGAATTCTGCCAATAGTGATATTGAGTCTGTGCTGGAATGTTTTACCTGGAGGTATTGCAGGATACCTTTGGGGTATAAAAGAAATGTTCTAGGGGGAGGAAGAAGGAACTGCACTTGTGCTGATGGGAAGGGGACAACACTCCAGTTTGCAGTGAAAGATTCCCTTCTATGTATGCCATGTTTTACAGCGTGTTTCCTGGCAACAATTATGACCCTTAACAAACAAAAATGTAAAATATATTTAATTACAGAACAATTATATATCAATAAGGGAACATTTTTACTTTTGAGCAAAAGCTTTTTATTTTGGAAGCTGTTTCTGCAGTGAAGAGCTTATCATAAGCCATGTAATATGTTTTTTTAACTTTCTTTTCCTGCGTGATCCCTTTTTAGGTTCAGAGCTTTATGCGGGGCTGGCTGTGCAGAAGAAAATGGAAAACCATTGTCCAAGACTATATTTGTTCTCCTCATGCAGAGAGCATGAGGAAGAGGAACCAGATAGTTTTCAACATGGTGGAGGCCGAGTCTGAGTACGTGCACCAGCTTTATGTCCTGGTGAACTGCTTCCTGCGGCCCCTGAGGATGGCAGCGAGCTCCAAGAAGCCTCCCATCAGCCACGACGACGTCAGCAGCATTTTCCTCAACAGGTATAGGGGATTTATTTGGGGTCTTTTGTGTTGGCTTGGTGTGGTTGAGCCAACGGGCGCTCCCGGAATGAGTGAAGAGAGGAGAATCTTGACTCCGTGTTTCAGAAGGCTGATTTATTATATTATGATATATATTATGTTATAAATGCTATACTAAAACTGTACTAAAAGAATAGAGAGAAAGGATCCATCAGGAGGCTAGGAAGGACAGGAGAGGAACGATACCAAAGGCTCCTGACTCCCAGAGAGTCCGAGCCAGCTGCATCTTTGATTGATTATTGATCAGAAACAACCAACATGCACCAACCCCAGCTGCTCCTGTTGGTAAACAATGTCCAGAGCACATTCCACAGCCATCAGAGAGTGAATTGTTTACATTTCTTTTCTCAGGCTTCTCAGCTAGAATAGGAGAAAAACCCTAGCAAAGGATTTTTCATAAAATACCGTGGCTACAGGTTTGGGCTTTTTATTTGGGGTTTTTTTTTGGTGGGTTTCCCTGAATGTTTATTCCCACTCTGGTTCAGCTGAAGGCAGAGTCCTGGCCCCTGTTTTGGCTCTTGTGCAGGAGGTGTCACTGAGCCAGATACTTTTCCAGGGCTGTCAGGCAAAGGTGCTGCAGGTGATGCTGTTGGAGACCAGCATGACCTCTTCACCTCCCTACATTCTGTGTCTGCCTCTGCTAAAGGCAAAAAAGGACAGATGGTGCCTTTTAGGGCAGTTCCCATAATTTCCTGTCACCTTTCCTGTTTCCTTTTTTTCTCTTAAGAGAGCAAAACTGGACTTAGTGGCCTCATATGATCCTGATAAGACCCCGAGGATGAGAACGTCAAAGCTTCTATTTTCTGTTGTCCTGCCTAAGGAATCTCCTTCCCTCTCACTTGTCTTTTCACATCCTGCAAAAAAAGAACTGTTCTTTCATTAGGCATCCAAGTACTGCTGTAATGAGCATGTTCAAGTAGCCCAGGAGGCATCTAACATTAGATACAGGGCTGGGATTGCATCCAAGCCTGCCCCAAACTTCTGAGAAATAGAATATGTTCCTTTAGTCATGAGGCAGGTTTCCTTTCCCTTGCCAGAATATGAATATAATGCTAGAATATTTATATTGAATACTATGAGTTTTTTAGAAGCACTGAGCTAGTATTTTTAAACAATGCAATAAAAGGAAGCACTTATTTCCATAACAATAACTGTCTTCTGTTTTTTTTCTAGCAAAGTGCAAAAGAGGAAGAGATGTTTCTCTGTGAATTATTAATCAGAAAATAAAAACAGAATTTTTTTTTGTTTGTTTAAATACTTGTTTTTCAGTGAAACAATCATGTTTCTTCATGAGATATTTCACCAGGGCTTAAAAGCAAGAATAGCTAACTGGCCTACCTTAATTCTAGGTAAGTTACTTTATTTTCTGGAGGGGTATAACTTTCATATTTAGTTTTGAAAATTCAGTAGGGATTTTTCTTTTTTTTTCTAAAGACGAGACTTCTTAAAAGTCGCTTTTGAAGGGAATGTATAAAAATGTATACATATATGCATAAAACCACAAGATCAGGTGTAGTAGGAATTCCATATGGGCAGTAATGGTCTGTATATGAGAATTCCTCTGCCCTAAGCATTGATTAGACTTGTATTTTTGGTAATGCTATCTGACCATTGGGTAAGCAGAACAACCATCACTGGGCAGGTGAAAGAGCTATGTTTAATGTTTCTAAATTGTTGGTATATTGGAAACAGAACTGATTATAGTAATTCACTTCCTGAGAAAACACTGCTTTCTTTAAAAATGTATTTTAATACATGGGTAGCTGGGGGGGGGAAAAAAAAAGGCATTTTTCTGCTTTTTCCAGCTGACTTATTTGACATTCTGCTGCCAATGCTGAACATATATCAAGAATTTGTTCGGAATCATCAATATAGCCTACAAGTGCTGGCAAACTGTAAGCAAAACAGAGATTTTGACAAACTCTTGAAGCAATATGAAGCCAACCCAGCATGTGAGGGCAGAATGCTGGAAACTTTCCTTACCTACCCCATGTTTCAGGTACTCCATGTGTACTTTTTGTATTTGGTTTTACTGTTTGGTAGATTCATTTTGTGTTACTGACATTGCAATCGATTGAGGGCTCTTCTTGCTTAACTAGAAGCACTCTCCTGAAAATTAGTTTGGTGTAATTTATTTTGATGGAGATCTGTGGAGGTCTCCTCCCCTGCTATGCTGGCTCATCTCCGCTCAGTCTCAGGAATGCTGAGGGGGAGTGTGGGGTGAGGATGGCACCAAAGAGTGGGGGACAGCCGTGAGGGGGCCCATGAGGGTGGGAATGCCACGGGAAGACACCACTGTGTAAATTAGGGCGACAGACTGGCACAACTCCCCGTGACTCCTTGATTTTTAATGTTAATGTGCTGCTGCCAACTGACTTCTGCTCATCCCCCAGTTCCAGAAAATTCTGCACCCCTTGCTCCCCCATTGGTTCCCCCTGAGAAACCACACCCGCTCTGCTTTCCCATTGGTGCGTCCCATGTCAATCTCACTTCAGCTCTGCCCTGACCCCTTTTCCATTGGGTGATTTGTGTCCTGACCCCGCCTCCCTACCCCAGTTACATACCCTGGCCCCGCCCCTGCTCCCCAGTGCAGCTGAGCCTGTGCTCCTGCCTCTCTCCTACCCTCACCTCACCCACGCCCTTGGAATTTTTCCTTTTATAAGCCCTACTGGATCCCCATGCCAAGAGTCCTCCTGTCTCTGGTGAGGCTGTGGTTACCCCATGTGGGCTCAGGCGTCTGGTGGGCTGGGGGAGTTGTCAGTGTGGCCCAAAGAGGAGATCCTTTCCGTGCTGCCGACAGCACCTGCCTGCGGAACCTACCTGGCCTCCCACACCAAGGAAAATCAGCAAGGAGCAGGTCCTTGACTTAGGACTCCTGATTATAAAGCCCAGAGGAAGATGATATTCAGTAACTTAGAACAGCCATAAGCACCTTACTGAGAATTCGTTTCCTGCTTTGCTCTTGAGTGACTTGGTCTTTAGAAAATGAAAAATAAACTGCGAAAGTTTTGAAAACTGTGCTTACCCTCCTGATGTCTTACTGTGATCTGCCTGGAGTAGGCATTTTCTGCTGTTTTACCATGTCTGTGAAGCACTGGCCTGAGAATTTTACGTCTTTTTCATTTAACCTGACATTTTCCTCACAAGGAATAGTGAACCCCCTCAGTTTGTGCAGTCACTGGCAGGCCAGATAGAGAAAATAAAATTAAAAAGGGGCATCAGTGACACTTATGTAAATGATAGTTATTCGTATTAGCCGAAGGAGCCATTAGCACCTGCGGCAATACTTTTTTAATTTTTGAAGTGGTATATTTTAAAGTTTTTGTGGGTATGGGGTTTCTTTGGGTTGAGTTGAAGCCGGGTCAAGGGAGGGAAGGAGATGGTCCTGTTCCTGCCTGATGAGGAATGTTATTATGTCATTGCTGGTGACTTTCCACATGAGCATAATGTTGCCTCTCCTCCTACATAAATCTTGTTGTGTCAGAGCAGTTATGCTGCACCATCGCTTGGTTAAAAGCCCTGAAGGGTCCTTCTTTCTGTGGTTAAAAGCTCTGAAGGGTCCTTGTTACCCTGTAGCCTTTAATAGACAAATGCTGGACATTCTTCCATCTCCTTTTGTGCAATGTGAATGTTTCCTGAATGCCGACAGGTCACCTGGTATTTTCAATGTCAAAAGAAATTTACATGCTCATCATGTATTAAAATTGAGGGAAGGTATATATGGATTTACTGATATTATATCTTATTGGTTTCAAGATTCCCAGATACATTATAACACTTCATGAACTTTTGGCTCACACACCTCACGAACACGTTGAGAGAAAAAGCCTTGAATTTGCTAAATCTAAACTAGAAGAACTTTCAAGGTAAGATTTTTCTACCTTCTGTCTGATAATTTTGAATTAAAGGTTTTGAAAAGAAAAATCAGTTTTTCTTTATTTTTATTTGTTTTTGTTCTTTTAAAAAGATATGCATTTTAAAGAAAGGGATCAAACCCAAAACAGAAGATAAAGAAAAAACCTAAAAATATGTCAGTGTAATATTTTGTCGGTTCTATTTATTTTTTTTGGTCAATTTTAAATCTCCAAGTGTCTCCTTGTATTTTGGTTAGGGAGAATTGAAATCACTATAGAAACCACCTATTCCTGGGTTATGAACAGAGCAGTTTTCTTTACATAAAGAAATTTTATTTTTCTGAATTTAAGGAGAGAAGGGCATTTTAAATAATTATGGTATTGGAAAGTACTTCGTTCTCTATCTGTGTCACAATTTTAACATGCTACTGTGAAAATTGACTTGTATATGTGCTTCAAATAATGCCAGCTAAGCAGGAACTAAAGATAATATTCTGAGAACTTTTGCTCCCTGTGGAAACCTGCACAGTGAGGCTCTTCCCTGAACCCCCAGACCTTTCTCAGATGTTCCTCTCATCAGCCCAGTGAGAAATGTGTTTCTGCTCTCTGGGAAATGCAGTTTTCTGCTGTGAACAAAGAGACCATGAGTGAACTCCAGGATATAAATATTCAGTGTCTGGAGTATTCACTAAAGGTGTGCTTGGAGAATATTTAGTTGTAAAAGATCTGCACGAGCAGATAAATCAGCTTTGGACTGGCTTCATCTCATAAGTCAGAGTTCACTGCTGATCCAACTATTCACCACTGAACACTCAGGACTGGAGTCTGAGACTGACTGATCCTCTCTGCTCATAAAGTCAGTAGAGACCGTAAATGTAAAATAAACTGACTCATTTCCATCCCTTTAAGGTAGTCCTGAGGGAGGAGGAGATTCCAGAAAGTGCAGTCCAGTCCCACTTTAGGAAAATATCATTGCAAGATCATATAAGCTCCTGGGTTGGTTTCAGTACTGAAAAATGTAAAGTCTGTATTTTTCTCTGTAAGGGGAGAATGCCTATATTAAAAAAAAAAAAATAGGAGAAAGGAAATGTTGAAATATCAAAGCTGTGCTTGTAGAAGGAAGGGAAAGAGGAAAGGAAAAAGGAAAAGAAAGGAAAGGGAAAGGAAAAGGACTGTTACATTGTAAAGATTGTAAAGATGAAGCAGGGACAGAGTAGGACCCTAAAGCCACGGAGAGGAAATTTACAGTGTGCCCTACATAATTCTAGGCAACACTTCCCTGTTTGTGGCATTAAGGATCAGGTTCTCTTCTATCAGCTGTGAAGTTTGAAGTTTCAGTGGCATCTGTCAGATGTGCTCAGGAGCAGTCACTAGTCTGCCAAATAGACTGCTGAAAAATCAAAATGATCACAAGAATGATTTGAAAAGGAGAGGAAAAAAGGCAGGAGACCTGCTCTGGAGTGCAGAGTGGAGTGATGAGGCACTGGCTGGGTAGATCTGTCGCAGGTGGTGAGGGGCATGCACTGTGTCTTCACGGACACAGCAGGTGTGAGGCACGTTTTGGGGAGATAAAGTGCATTTTTGTCCCCAACAGAGTGATGCACGACGAGGTGAGTGACACAGAGAACATCCGTAAGAACCTGGCCATAGAGAGGACCATAGTGGAGGGCTGTGACATACTGCTAGACACCAGCCAAACCTTTATCCGCCAAGGTAAGACATCCCTCTGCAAAGCTGCCCAAAAAAATGAAAAAAATTGCAGTGGAGGCAGCAGGGCTCACAGTGCCATCGTCAGGCTGGGCGCTGCGCTGAGCACTCGTCAGCATCCTGAGCCTGCCCCCTTGTCCCTGCAGGGTGAAAAGTGCCCTGAAAACAGGGGATTTTGGGCTGTGGTGGGACCTCAGCTCTGTGCTGTGCTCTGCAGGACAATCAGCAGCACGTGAGTGGCAAAGCCCCCCTGGGACTGTGCTTCACATTCTGCCTGGACTGTGGTCCCAAGGGGATGCAGCAGGGGAAGAGCAGCACTCTTCTCCTCTCTGTCTGTTGACGGCAGCTTTGGAAACTCCTTCTGTTGAAAATTAGTTGCAGCAGAGGTGGAATTTGTTGTTAAGTTCCAAAAAACTCTGCTAGAATAACATTTCCATTTTAAATAAGGGACAGGGTTTGGTTTTTTTTTGCCAGGAACTGCAAATTGGTTAAAATTCTTGCTTGGTGGTGTTTACTGTAGCTGCTTATTTTTCTCCCATTTATATAATATTTTACTTTTGGACCTCTTGAAGCCAGTTACTAGGCTTGTACAAAATAACTACAGATCTGTAGTGCAGGATTTTGATAGGTTTTGCTGCTTTGTGCTGAAAATCATTAAATGTACTCAGGAAAGGTTAGGAATATAATTTAGGTGCATCTCTTCATGAAGCCTTTTCCAGATAACCTCGGCAGAACATCTGGTATTTGATGGGGCCATATTGCACCTGTAAATTAATAGGCTTTCTGTACATTTTGTAATGTATTTTATGCTGTTTCTGTAGTTATGTGGCCAAATTATGAATTTTCTGTAATAACTTCCAATATTATTTTTACAATACACTAACAATATTGTTTTTACAAACCCTATTAAATTACTTGATTCTTCATTAAATGTATGCATTGTTATCTCTGAGATGTTTTAAGAGTTACGAATATGGTTTTCAGAAAAAAAAAAAAAGAAAAGGCAAGTTATTTTTTACCCAGAGGCAAAAAATTATAATGCTGTGATTATCCTAGGTTTACTTGTACTATGAAATCTAAATTTAACTTTCGAATTTTTTTCAAGATTATTACAATATGTAATACAAATATATATTTTTATTTATTGGGGTTTTCCCATTAAAACTGACTAACAATGTTTTGTCCATATACCCACTGCTTCATCAGTAAAACTTAGAATTCTTTTTTTGTGGGAATCGATCTGGACAAATTACTGTTGGCTTGTCAGGCCCAGGCCAAACCCTGTAAGTAAATTAAATTCAGATTTATTTCTAGGCACGCAGTCAGAGGGCAGTGGACAGGAGTGTGTGTTACAGAAAGCTGTATCTGCTTATCTGCTGGAACATCCACTGCCTGTGATTCTGTGCAAGGGCAGAAATCTGAATAAAGCAAATGAAGTAATGGAGCCCATTTTCCTTTTACATCTGGTAGTGGGGTCACTTTGGCAGTGGTGTCCATCTCCTCTGGTGTCAGTTAGGCTGCCTTTTGTTGTGTTGATTAGTGCAGATAGGCACAGGAGCCTCTTTTCCGGCTTAAAACCGGAGAGAGGTGCCACTACCTTTGTTCAGGCTTTTTTTGTGGATGTTAATGACAACTTTTTCGTGTGTTACAGACTCTACTTGTTTAAGAAGAGATTGATTCTGTTGAGTTGTGCATGTTGAGACCGCGGGAACTGTCCCTGGCAGTGCTTTGCAGTGCAGATTGTGAATTCTCTTTCGAGTTTCTTGTGGTCTGATTTTCCCTGCCTCTTACTTAGGTACAGATTTTATAGTCAGGCACACAAGGAAGTGAGGAACATTTTCCTTGTGAGGCTGAAGGACACTCAGTGAGTCTCAAATCTTTTGATATCCAAACAACTGAACACCCTGAGCCCCTCTGGTGCCTTCAAACACTCTGATGCTTCTGCCATCAGCTGCTGTGAATTTACCTGTGCTGATAAAGATATCATGACCACAAAATCCGGCAATAGCTGGAGCTGGAAGGGACTTTGGAAATTATCCATTCCAGTCTCAAAGCAGCACCAGCTGGAGGAGGTTGGTTTTTGCCTTGTCCAGTCAGTATTTTGTTGTTTCCAAGGACAGAGACCCTGCAGCCTCCCTGAATGAGCAACCTCTTACAATGTTTAACCCTCTGAGCAGTAAAAACAAACAACAAAAAAGAGTAAAAAAGCCCGAAAACCTCCAGCACGGGGAAAGCCAGATTGAGTTGGTCAATCAGGCAGTTCAATGTAGACTTCTGAATGGTTATGTTTGTTTATAAATACAGCCTTTTATATTCCTTGGATTGAGCAAAGGCTGAGAGAGTGACTGCTGAAGCACTGAAGTGCTTCGGCCTGAGGCTGGATAAAAATTCATAGGATTACACTATTGTCCAAACTATACTGTTAGTGAATGTTCTAAAATTAGCTTCACTTGCTCATTGCATCTGTGCATTGGCCAGTTGTGACCATTTTTTTCCCTTAAGAGGAAATCTGTGGTAGAGCCAATGCCCAGTTTTGTTAACCACTAAAGCCTGATGAGACTGCCCAAGGTCCTTGCTTGGTGTCAGCCATGCAGTATGTGTAGGAGATGTGTTCCTCTCTGCACATTTGAAAAAGAGAAAATGCAGTCTCTGTTTTCTGCTTTTAGAGAGAGGTTTGCTCTGTTTTACCTTATTAAACAGTATTTTAGCTCCGTGCAAGAACACTGTTTAACCTCAGCCCATTATGGCAGAACAGAGCACGTTAGTCCTGAAAGCATTCTAATGAGAATACAAATAAATAAACAACAATTACCAGTAGACTTACTTCTGTAAGCATATCACGTTTATAAGTACTATTACTGTACAAAGCAAAGCAGAAACAAAATGTACAGATTGAATATTGCTACCCTAAATGTGCAGATGGAATTCTAGGCCTAAAAGTACCCTGGGAATTTTGTCTGGAAGTTGTTTTGAACATGCTGGCCTTGCAGTGTGGCTTCAGGGACATTCAGTGTAACATGGAGAAGTCACGGTTCCAACACATGGAAATGATCTCCTCCCTCTCTCTAACAGCTGAGGCAGGTTGGCTGCTTGTCCAGGGGAAATGCACAACAGCCAGTAAATGTTTGGGGGTTTGGGTCAGAATGTAAGTGAATCTGAAATGTTCCAAACTCCTCTGCAAAATTCTAGAGCATAACTTCACTGTTCTGTTTTGGTGACACAAGTTGTGTTATACACGTTTAGTCTAAATGTGAAATGTCTGTCAGAGAACACTGTTCTCTGGCAAATTTACTGCTGTGTATTTTCCCATGTCAGCAGAAGTTTACACATTAATAATTCAAGGCTACTTAAATATATAGAGAGAGCTAAGCACAGAAAAAACTGTAGATAAATAGCACCTTTCTCAGTTACTGCAATTTCTCTGTTTGTTAATTCAAGATTGCATATGTGAACTTTGAGAAAGATAATCCTTTTGACAACACAGAGTAAGAATTGCTAATCTAATATTTCATGGGTAATTCTGTCAGGCTGGCATTGTGTCAGGGTGCCACCACTACTTTGAGCTTTGATGCAGCCGTGCCATTTCATATCTGGAAGGGGCAGGTCAAAGCCTTCTCCTGCTGCTTGTTCTGCTTTGCATCATCAGTTTCTTGGTGCTTTTGTGACCTTGCACCTATCAGGGAGCTAAGTCAGCTGCCTCTTCCCAGCATTATTTTCCTGCTGGTTTGGCTGTGTGAGTGCCTGATACTGGAAGAAGGCACGAGCCAGTGTAAAGGTAATGGTGAGGAGAGATGTGTGGGAAGGAGACTCGGAGGTCTCTTGGCTGCCCTGTCTGCTAACAGCAAGTTGTATGGTAGAAATATTTCTGTTTAATCTACAGAGGAGTTGCACTTCACCACCAAATTTAACTCTTGCTCCAAATTTGGAGGTGATACACATGGTGGGATCAATCTGGAAAAGTTGGTCACAGACTGAGATGTGAAACAGCAAGAGAAGCAGAGCTGTCCCCAGCCTGGAGCTCTGCAAAGCAAAATTCAGGCTTATGTAAGCAGGTTCAATTTAGTTCGGGAGTGTTTTACTGGCAACACATTTCGGATGAGCTGTGGAGCACTGACAATTATGCAGTACAAGATAAGAAGAAGAAATGTGCTTCATATCCATCTCTCTTGCACATGGCCACACACACAAACTCTTTTCCATCAAAAAGAACTTTTTCATGTTTGCATTCTCTGTCTCTTTGGTTTGAAGTGTCTTTTGCAAGTGTAGTGGCTGTCAGAATGGTGTTTGCTGTTCAGCCACATTTTGTGATTAATGGCCTCTCAGTGTGTTTAATTGCCTACTCAGCCCTGCATCTAATCCTGCCATGTTAGTCTAGACTGTACTTGAGTCTATTTATGATAATAAACAATGGGAACCTGTGCAGTAAAAAAGGATTGACTTGTGCTTGAAAGACATGCTGATACACATTGATACTGGGATGAAGAGTTGTGTTAATTAATGTGATAGTGTTCAATGAATTAACAGCGTGAGCACTGCCTACTAAATATTACTGTAATGCAGTAAATTTTGCACTTTCATTACCAGGTTCCCTTATTCAGGTCCCCTCAGTTGAGAGGGGAAAGCTGAGTAAAGTTCGCCTGGGCTCGCTGTCTTTGAAGAAAGAAGGAGAAAGACAATGCTTCTTGTTTACAAAACACTTCTTAATTTGTACAAGAAGTTCAGGAGGAAAACTGCATCTTCTTAAGGTATGGACTTCATATTATGATTTAATTTTCAAAATGAAAATACATCTGTGGTGAACTGTCAACATTTTGCTGTTTTATGGGTTTCATGTGAGCTTTGCATTAGTGGTTATAAACAAAAGTGGGATGGTGCACAGTGTTTAACTGCCTTGTCTTTTCATTGCAAGTAATAGAATGCAGTCAATTTTCTTTTATTAGAGCCAGTTAATTCTAGTAAACTGGGGATTAGAAAAAAGGCATTGATGTATCTATTTGTTTGAAGTAGTGAATAAATTCAGTGTATGTAGCGCTGAATTTAAGTAAGTTTTCAGTGCATAAATCAGTCAGTACAACCCTGCAGAATTGCCAAAGAACATTTTCCAGAGCTCTAATAAAATTAATTCTCAAAGTCAATTCAGTTTTCCTGAACAGCATGTTCTCTTAAAATAAAATGTCATCTAAGAACAATCTAGTTATATTTGTTGAGAATCAGTCTTTCATAGTGCTGGCTTGTGGGTAAGAGATGTTGGTAGTTCATGGAGTGGGTTATGTTGAATGGAATTTTAATGGAATTTTAATTTGGCATACCAAGAGGTTATTAAGGGTCATGTGCTTTCCCACTTTGCACCTCTTACATAGTTCAAGTACTTATGCAAAATAAATAGCGTCTAATAGAACCTTTAAAAAAACCTTGTACGTATTTGACTTAAATTCAGAAGATGAAATTCTAGTTAACTTTTTTGGAACTTGTGAACAAGTCTGTGTGTGCCATAAGTTAAAGTGCGGTAAAAGTGAAAGAAGTTTTATGCATTGTACTATTGATCTGCTGGATTAAGGAAAACATTATATTTAATCAGTTTGGGTTTAGTTCTTTAAGGAAAAAATGTGCATCATGAAATTGATGTGTCTTCCTCAGAGCTCTGAGTAATGTAAAATGTTACAGTCAGGCCTGTCAACATTTAAAAAAACCTGTGACAAATGGGAATAAATAACACTTGTGTGAAATGTGCTTTGTTTCCACAGACAGGAGGTGTTCTGTCTCTGATAGAATGCACACTGGTCGAGGAGACAGAAGCGAGTGATGATGATTGTAAGTTAAATTCAGCTGTCAGTAGTAAGTACAGTTTCTAGTTTCCTAAAATTAGTACTTTTTTTTTTTTTTTTTTCATAAGAGCAAATAGATATGTTGTTGTGAAACCAGTAGAATACAGTGTAAAACTGATCCATTAGAATTGCTGTTCCAGTAATGGACATGCTGACTTGGATTGGGCATTGTTTTGTTGTATTTGTTCCTGCTGTTAACACCCCTTACTGGGTTTTCAAGAGTGTTGGCTGGAGAAATGTGACAAATTATTTGCTGGCTTTCCTATTCAAGTTCACGCAGAGCATTGTGAGAAATAAAATTAAAATAAAAATTAAAAAAAAGAAAGTACAATAAAATTAAAAAAAAAAAAAAAGAAAAGAAAAAAAAATAAAAAAAATTTTTAAATAATAAGGATAAGCTGCATAATAATTAGCTTTCTGGAATACCTGGGAGTTGACTGATTTGAAAGAATTAATGGGAAGATTTTTGTCTTGGGCTCCCCACAAATCTGGACTGCAAGCTTATTGAAATGGAATTACAAAATACAGTCTCAGGCTTATTTTATTGTTACTCCTTTTGTCTTCCATTGTGCAGTTTGTCTAGTTTTGCACTTGAATTGTGACAGTAATTTTGTTAATTTGAGTGATACATGTAGTATGGTAAGGATGTATTAGCATACGAGTGTTATAAGAAACTTTATCTTGAAGAGCAAATCGCGGTATTTTTGTGCTTGGCATATGTGAAGAGCAAAATGAGTTGCTGGATAATTAATTGGATTTGCTCTTTATCAGTAAGATGTTTTATAGCATTTCCATTATAATGAAATCACTGTTTTCTTTGTCCCATGCTGTGGCGTTTCATGTTGTGACTTTTTTTTCTCCCCCTCTGGCTGTAAAGCCAAAGGTTCTGGGCAGGTGTTTGGACACCTGGATTTCAAGCTGATAGTGGAGCCCGCGGATGCTCCTCCTTTCACTGTTGTGCTTTTGGCCCCGTCACGGCAGGAGAAAGCTGCATGGACAAGTGACATCAGCCAGGTACCTTGTGCTTTTCTGTCTTGGTGTGAACAGACAGGTGTCTGCTAAGGACAAACTGCCCCATGGACAGAGATAACTGCCCCAGCTCTGACAGATGGAAATGGAATTCACACCCCCATTTCCAACCTAAGACATTTTTTCACCTGGTTTTGGTGAGGTCTTCCTTCAGTCTGAGCTTCTGGAAAACAGCCTGACACAGGGGTGCTGAACACCTTTGATTTCCTGTGAAAAACCCTTAGTGCTGCCTGTTCCCCTCAAAATTCTCTTTTTGCATTTGAGTCATCAGGAAAGTGTGTTTCTCAAGAACAGAGATGGGGTATAAATTTCAAAATTGTCCATGTACAAGCATAGTGGTAAGCATTCTTATGTTTAAGAAGAGCCCATCTAGACACATATTTTGATTTAATAAGGATAGTACTGGTTGATTAATGATTTTCATACAGATCAAAACCACCTGAGTTCTAGTGTGAAAATGGTGCCATATCACATGAATAATGAAGTAAGAAAATGGGATAAACTCTTTTTTCCACCAAAAATGAATACTAACAAACCATTATAAATAATTGCTGAGCATTCTGACAGCGTGCAGGAACTGTCTGTGTTGTGAATGAACAAAAAAGGGTGTTTTAAATTCTTTAAATGTCAGGGATAAGTTGTTGGGATTTTTTAAAATCACTTTTTCTTTAAACATAATAGACAAACTTTGTCATAATCTATTTGTGGAAAGAAGTTGAATGCAAAAAAAAGCCCAAAACCCCTAAGCTTTCAGCTAACCAGAGCTAAATCAAGGCTATTTGTGTTTTGTTTATGCACACAAACAAGAACATTCATCTCTCATAGTTCTGAATTCAGGTCCTATCCTCTATTAATTTAGAGAGAAATAGCTGATTAGAGGAATATCAGCATGGAATGTCATGCATTTCCAAAGTTGCTATCATTGCTGTCAACAGCTCCAGATGAATCATCATCATAATGAGGAGAAATTGCTTAAAAAATAAGAATTCTGACTTATTTTGTGCTGGATTAACATTTTTGAAAGAACAAAAATAGGCAAATAAAAATCTCAAAATATAGTATGAGCTACAACTTGCTGTCTTACAGACAGACCTGGTTGGAGAAGTTTTTACAGAACAGACTTTCAGGGAATTATTCTTCTTCCATTGACATATAAAATCACAGGAGTTATTTGCTGGTGTGGAAAGACCATTTAAGAATGCTACTAAGTCCATTCTTAGCCTAAATTATAATAATTCTAAAAATCATCTGATACCATGATTGGTGATACGGGCTTCTTTGTAATATTTCAAGGTCAAATAGGGGAAATATAAGTACTTCTATTAAATGTGTTTCTCAATGCTTTTATGTAATGATTTGAGAAAATCATACTGTGAATTACTGCAGCTGCACTTTCCAAATAATCTTAAAATCCTGAATTGAAACCCACATAAAACTGCATAGATGATACTTTAAATTTGTAACTGTAGATGTAATCTAAACCTGAAGAGGCCTGTCATTATCAGGTTTGAGCAATCCAGTATCAGTCACTGGTTTGAAATGAAATATTTCACAGCCTGAAGGCTACATGTGTTCTTGAAGTCAGGATGAATGTGTGTGATAATTTCTGAAACTCCTTTTTACTGATGTAAGGAGATTGTCCATATATATATATGTATATTTATATGTATACATATGTATGTATATATATGTGTATGAATAAAAGTAGAAAGTATAAAGCAGACAAGAGCCCTGCAGTGTTTGGTAGAGATCCAGCCCCTTCCCCAGCTCTGTTCCCTTCTTTGGGCTCATCTGAACTACATAAAAGTGCACATAAAAGTCCCTCCTAATTCCCAGCCTCAAACATTTATACAGGAGTTTGCAGGGAGCAGCTTGGACAGCTTCCTCACAGCTGCGTTTCACAAGGAGCACCACTTGAATTTGTTTTCACAAATGTGTTTCTGGAAGCTTTTTATATTCCCTTCTGGTCTTCTGCACGGAGTAGAGGTTAAGGTATTACTGTACCCCTTGGAGTATAAAGCATTCTGATTTTCTTGTGGTCTTGATTTCTCAAGCTTACACTCTTTGAGGAAATACTAGAAATAATGAGTTTTGTTCCCTTTCAAAGGAGCTTCAAAGGAAATATCACTTCCAAGTCAAAATACTTAATCATGTGGAAAAAAAAAGGTTTCTGAACAGGATACCCTGAGAGGCAAAGGCCAGAGAAGCATGTCAACTCTTAATTCCTGCATCACTGCTTTTCATTTGGGAAAATACCTTGTCTTAATCAGCCCATACCCTGCAAAGGCTGTGCTTCAAACTTATAGGGATATAAAAAGTGTTCTGAATTTAACAGTTTTCAATGTTTATTTCCACAGTGCATTGATAATATAAGGTGCAATGGATTAATGACAATAGTGTTTGAAGAAAACTCCAAAGTCACAGTGCCACATATGATCAAGTAAGTGCAGCAGAGGACAGAATAGATTGTTGTGTTTGCTCAATTTACAACATTTTAACAAGAGAAAGCATGTGTTTAGAAAATACAAACCTTTAATTTTTTTCCCCTCCCATTTTGGTTGAGTGGAACTGATTCTCTATCCCAAAACATGTATTTTCAAATCCTTTTCTTGGAGGTGTAGGGATCACTCAGAGTGGTGAACTCTCAATTCCCAGTGTTGGATCACAATTTAGCGTTACCTGGGTTTTGAGTAGTTGACTTCAGGTATGCCTTAGATGGATGATTTTTTTCTCAGGTTTTCTTTTTCATCTCATAATTTTATTGGAGATTTTTTACAAGTCTTCAGAATTTATGTGACTGCAGACAATTTCACCATTTTGAAAGCTATTTTGTTATATTAGCCAAAGTTTTTGTTCTCTGTATTTCTGTTACTTCTGGTAAAAGATTACTTTCTCTCGTGATTTTAACTGATCACATCAAAGTAGCACCATTGTTTATAAGGTTATTTCCCTTATGTTTGGACTCTCTCAGTATTTATTGTAATAAGCGGGTTTTGTTTCTAGTGAGATATTTTCACTACCTGATTCCAGATTTTTAACACAGCTTGGATCTTCTACATACCTCAATTTACCTGAGTTTTACTTATTAGAATCCAATTAATATATAAGTAAATGAAACATAAGGATACAAAACTATTTCCTGTCTCACCATTATCTGTCACATCTCTTGGTTTCTCAAAAGCCTCTTCTGTTGTTGTTTCCTCTCCTGTCTTTGTGCTTAGAAAGGTGAGAGAAAAAGCATCTGGGAATGCACTGTTAGGGCACACACCTTTGATCCCTGCAAATAAGGCATTTTATTGTCTGCAGCTTTATTCCAGGAACATTCCAGTGCATAACAACTTCTGCCACCCTCTGAATTTTAAAAGGACATTTGTTCCCTTTCAAAGTACAGCAGGACCTCAGTCCCTGTGCCAACAGAAGGGAATATTAATTCTGAAGAACATACAGGAGCTTCATTACAGACACAGACTGGGTGTTCTCCTTCTTAAATTTGACTTGCCTGATCTGCAGCACAGTTTGACTTTCAAAGTCAGATGTCACTGGATGGTATAAACAAAATATTGCTGCTTTGGAGGGTCTATAGTGAGAAACAAGATTTTTTTGTTGCTGTTTCTTTTATGTAATACAGTGTAGAATTGTGTGGAATATTCTTACCTTTCTTCTCAGCAAATCCAATAATGTTTTACAAAAGGATGGGGTGTATTGAAAGATGCTTCACTTAGTATTCATCCTGTTTATTTACAAACTTAGCAAAACAGAATTTGAGGGGAAACACCCCCCCCCCCCCCCATTATGGATAGGGTTATGTAAACGTTTTTGGTGGGTTTTTTTTTCAAGCCAAAATTTATTGGGTTTTGGTTTTGGTTTTTTCACTAAAATAAAGATTTTTCTTGGTTTCTGCATTGAAATTTGAGATGTTTTGTGCTGTTCCCTATTTACTTTCTTAAAAAATAATTCTTGGAGCTGAAGGCAGGTGTTAATTTGCAGGTAAGCCTTAAAACTAGCTAAGGGGTTAATTTTTAGGATCCATCACTTTATTTTAGATAAAGCTTGATCCCAGCAGAAGACATTGCAATGAATTATCCCATACTGAGTATTTAGTAATATTGACCTATGGGCCACAATAGCCTGAAAGAGACAAGAGGGGACCATTCTGCCACCTGTTCCATTTCAGAAATGTAAGCATGATTAACAGTTTCTTAGACTTTGAAGTGTAAAGCATTTGCCAGAAATAAAATTTAAATTCCCTTTGTTATGGAAGCAGTTTTCATGACAAATTAAAAGTTTTCCTGCACTGATGAAACACAATAGTGCATAAATATTTGCTGCTTTTTTGTTGACAGGAACAGCTAAAGGGTACCACTCCTTTAATGCCTTGAGAGGCTCCTAGAGCAGAGGCTAGACAGACTTAAAGGAATAAAGTGGGTATTTATTAAAAGGCCTTCAAAGGACACACCTTGGGCAGTACAAGAGCCCAGCTGTGGCCACACCCAAGATGAACCCAAGACAGACCCCAGAGGGACTCTGAGTCACGAAAGTTCACAGTTATGTACTAATATAATATTCAGTTTCAATGGTTAAGTTGTGTTATTAATCACAGTTATATACTAATATAATAATATACCAATGCAGTACAGAATCTGGAAAACATGAAAGCTCAAACTTAAGGCATCACCTTGGCCATGATCACTCGTTGGTAAAGTGTTTTAAATTTGGCTTTTGTGTAGATCTGACGCCCGTCTTCACAGAGATGACATCGATATTTGCTTCAGCAAGACGCTGAATTCCTGCAAAGTCCCCCAAATCCGCTACGCGAGCGTGGAGCGCCTCTTGGAGCGGCTGACGGACCTGCGGTTCCTGAGCATCGACTTCCTCAACACCTTCCTGCACACCTACCGCATCTTCACCACCGCCGCCGTGGTCCTGGAGAAGCTCTCCGACATCTACCGGCGGCCCTTCACCTCCATTCCTGTCAGGTGAGCCCGGGGCCTGCACCTTCCCGGGACCTCTCTGTCACAGATCGCTGGGAGGGATATCACTGCCTCAGTCACTGTTGGTTTTGTGGGGGTTTTCCTCATTATTGTCTGCTTGTAAATAATCTGAGAGAATGGTTCTCAATAATAGATGCTTCTTCTGCGTGTAAATAATCTAAGAGAAAGGTGTAAACAGGACGCCAGTTTTATGGAAGGTCTGTCTCAGCTATGTGCCCAAGCTTTGAGGACGAAGTGTCACACAGATTTTGCAGTGCCATGTGGATTTGCTCAAAATTGAAGCGTTTTCACTTAAATCTGTTCAGTGCTTGCTACCGTTTTGCTCTTCTTGTGTTTCTGCCCCTCAGGTCTTTGGAGCTGTTCTTTGCCACCAGTCAGAACAACAGAGGGGAGTACCTGGCTGATGGCAAGTCGCCGCACCTCTGCCGCAAGTTTTCCTCTCCTCCTCCCCTGTCCCTCTCCAGGACCTCCTCCCCCGCCAGGACCCGCAAACTGTCCCTGACCTCCTCGCTGAACTCCAGGATCGGTGCCCTCGACCTCTCAGCCTCGTCTGTGGCCAGCAGTCCTACCTCAAACTACAGCCCGGCCACGTCGCCGCCGCCCACGGGCAGCAAGGCGCCGCTGGACCTGAGCCGGGGGCTGTCGTCCCCCGAGCAGAGCCCGGGCTCGACCGAGGACAGCCTGGAGAACCCACGCCTGGACCTCTGCAACAAGCTGAGGAGGAGCATCCGCAGAGGTATTGCACGCCCGCGGAGCACTGGAGTGCAGCGTGCTGCTCGCTGCCTGTTCACAACGCATATTTGGGGCTTTGGATGAATCCCTGCCCTTTGCTCAGGTCTCTGGCAGCAGGCAGCGGCTTTATGGAGGTGGTCAGCACCTGAAAAGCCACTCTTGATCACAAGTTCTTTAGTAATGGCTGATTTGGTCTATAAGAGAATGAATTATTTATTTAATAGACACAAAACTAACAGACGTAAGACTTAAAACAAGCTAATATTACACAGGAATAAGTACAAAACCCCCCTACTAATATACAGCATGAGGTTAAAGGTACCTGTTAATGTTACAGCTAGTGAAGAAACAATACAGCTTAGGATTCAATGGCTCTTACCATCCAGTGGTTGGTGGAGCACACATTGAGGTCCTTTCCCTGAATCCCCAGGCAAGCATCCATGGAATCTGTCCAAACTCCAGGGAAAAGTCTCCAGCACTTTCAGGGTGTAGGAGGCTTCTGCCTCTGTGGCAACTCTTTTGTAGTTTGTGAGTAAGGAATATTTCTTTTATCCCTTCCCACATCTGCTCTCAAGGCTGAGATGTTGTTTCTTAGCTGGGGCCTGAGCCCTTTGGTGCTGGAGATGACCCCTTTGGGCCTTTCAGCCTGGGTTGTCTTCTCACATGTGCACCCACTGCCTGTGTCAGAGAGGGGAGGACAGTCCTGGCACACTGCTGCTCCTCTGGTTGAGGTTCTGCTGTGCTCTCTGATCCCAGCCCTTTGCTGCTCCTTCCCAACAGCAGCAGCATGGCAAAGCCGCAGGATCACAGAATGCCCTGGGTGGGAAGGGACCTTAAAGCTCATCTTGTTGCAACCCACAGCACCTTTGTCTGTTTTCACTTCAGTGCAGTGTAAGGAGAAAGGCAGAAGAGAATATTTGATGTTTGCTGAGGTGAGAGATTTTTGAGTTGTACCATGTACTGCGGGAAGTGAAATACTATGTCAAAAAGAAAGACCTAACAGCTTTAACATGTTTGCAGAGGGGGCTGCTTTTCCAGGGAGATTCCATCACTAATCCAAATAAATAATGCCTGTGATGTGCTCAGTACATCAGTGACATTTGCACCAGGCGGTGTGAATGTCACCTGGTTATCCCTCCAGAAGTTACGAGTCTAGAATAGATTAATTGCTCCTGAGCAAATGCCTGCTTCCTCTAGGGATTCTGTAAGGCACCTTGCAATAGGTTTTATTTCCAGAGGGTGAGGCTGGTTGATAAAAGCCTCAGTGTGGGCCTCTAGGGTTGGGAGCATTGTAGGTATAGACGGAAAAGCAAGGAAGTAGCTTCAGTCTCACAGGAAACAGAAATGGACGTTACTTCTCCTTTGGGGACAGGGGAATGATCTTCTTAATTGGAATAGAAGTTTGCAGTGATCTTTTGTTTTATTGTTGTTACACTAAACAGAAAATGATACAATTTAAAAATGCTTTTTCTGTTTCTCAAATTAATATTTTAAAAATGGTTGTACATGGCCTGGCTTACTGTCTGAGGAATTTGATCTGTAAATCTGAGCAAAATGTAGTTCAGTTTTAGTTGGTAGTACTATAACAACAAAAAACCAGAGAGAGGAAAGAAGAAAAGGATTACCAAATACAAAGTAAGACAAATACGATTGAAATTTATGTCTGCTCCCTACTGATGAAGTAGCGGTGCCCTGCTAATAAGTTAGATATTTCATTGTGCCAGGGGGTTGTTTTTACAGAATACTGCCTATTGTTTAACCAAAAAAACCCATTTTAACTGGGAAGTTATCCACTGTAGCGTTCTAGGAGTCTGCCTGTCAAGAGCAGGGTGTCATCAGAATAATGTTGGGGTTTTGGCCATGGGATGGTCTATACAACACCTGATCTGCTGACACTTGATGCAGTTTTCAAAAAGCACAGGAAGGGTGACCCTGGAAACTACAGGCCCATCAGTCTCACTTCAGCACCTGGTAAGGCCATGGAGAAAATTACCCTGGGAGGTATTGGGAAACACCTTGAGGCATCATGTTACAGAAAAATGGACAAAACCTCTCCAGCAGCAGTGCAGCCCTGAGCAGCAGGCACTCCTCACTCAGCTGCCTCCTCTCCAGTATTGTGTGTGCATGCTGAGCACAGCAAAGCTCCTGTTCCAGGCTGCGGTGTACAGCAGTGCTCACAGGTTCTCCCAGGACAAACATACGTATGATAACGATAATCATTCCCCCAAAGTCATCAAAGTATATTCCTTCCCTTTTCACATGAGTTTGTCTGTCTCAGGAGTCTGAACAGTGGTCTCAGCCCTGAAGTGGCACTTGACCACCCCATGAGTTTGGTGTTACTTTCCCAAATCTGGAGCCGAGTTAGCCCAACCAATGTAATTTGTTATTTTGGAGATGAAAGGGTATTGTCCTGCTCTTCTTCTTGGTTGATGTTTAATGTGATCCCCATTATGCAGTTCCACAGGTCAGTGATTTTACAAAATAATCATTGTCTTTTCCCTACCAGCTGAGCAAACAGGTATTCATCTGGAAACAATAGGTCAGCACAGCCTGACAAGGAGGAGGTCCTGCCGGTCACACCTGAGTTCCTTCTATGACAGGGTGGCACACCTGTGTGACCCAGGAGAGGCAGTAATGGGATCTTTCTGGGCTTCATCAAAGCTTTGGGCACAGTCTCTCCCAGGGTCCATGGGGACAAACTGTCCAGCCCACAGGTGGATAAAACCATCATGGGCTCAAGGCAGGCACAGAGCGTGGCGGTGGCTGGGGTGGCACCAGGCTGGCACTGTCAGAGCTGGGGTTCCAGGGTTCTGTCCTTGGCCCTGTGCTCTTCAACATCTTCATTAGCCACCTGGACACAGGACTCTACGGAGTACTAAGTAAGTTTGCTGATGGCACTAAATTGGGAAGAGCTGTTAACTCCCTCGAGGGCAGAGAGGCCCTGCAGAGAGAGCTCAGCAAATGTAGGGTGGGAATTCACCAAGCGTGCCGGGTTTAACGAGGGATTCTGCACCTGGGATGGGCACCCCTGGCTGTGTGGATGCACTGGGGAACAAGGGGCTGGAGAGCAGCTGTGGGGTGGGACCTGCAGGTCCTGGTCCGTGTCTAGTTCAGTCTGAGTCAGTGGTGGCTGGAGCCAGAAGGGGCATCCCTGTCCTGGGGTGTACCAGGCCCAGCATCACTTGCTGGGGCAGCCTCACCTCGAGTCTTGGGGAGAGTTTGGGCACCCTCATGTCAGATCTAAAGCTGTTAGGGAGTGCCCGAAAGAGAGACATGGGGATGATAAAGGGTCTGGAGGGGCCACATGAGGAGCAGCTAAGGGTGCTTGGTGTGTTCAGCTGGAGCAGAGGAGATGAGGGCAGAGCTCACCAGGGGCTGCAGCTCCTCCCGAGGGCAGCTCCCATCCGTGCTCTGGGACAGGAGCAGGGCAGGCTGGGGCTGGCACAGGGGAATTGGGGCTGCAGATCAGGGAAGGTTCTGCTTGCCCCAGAGGCTGCTGGCACTGCCCAGGCTGCCCAGGGAATGCCAGAGCTCCAGGAGAGCTTGGGCAGCACTCCAGGGATGCCAGGTGGGGCTGTTGGGGTCTGTGCAGGGCAGGGGTGGCACTGCCTGATCCTGGGGGTCCCTCCCAGCTCAGGGGATTCTGTGAATCTGTGATGTTTGCTCATGCTTCATGCTTTCAAAAACATTGGTTAGCTGTTGCGCATAATCATGGATATTGTGTATCTAGTATGCTGGATGTTTTTACATTAATTGCACAGCAGACTATTTTTATATATATGTATATATATAGAGAGAGAGAAAGTTTTTTCTATGCAAAGTTGAGCAAATTCTTCTTGTGCACTACTTTAGCCACATTCAGACCAATGTGATGATAGCACAGCATATCCCAAAATACAGGCCATGCATTGAAATTAATCACAGATGGGTAACTGCTGTCTTAGCTGTAACATTTTTTCTACGTTGCAAAGTGAACTGGTAAAGAGCAGGTTGTTCTGCCCGAGTGTAGGCAGTGGGCACTGTTGGGAAGTTATTCACATTTCTCATTGTGGTCTGTCAAAGCTGGGCAGCTTTGGAACATTTGGAAATGGCCAGAGGCCCATATAAATGCTAAATTGCTGTCAGTGCAGTCTCCCACTCCTTTGGGCATCTCCTGCTGAACAGCTTGCACTCAGTCTGGAGGAATTTTGAGTAGAGCGCTCTGTCCTGCAGTAGCTCTGTCCAGCTGCATGCAGAATGCTGATGAAAATGAGGAAGTTTAAAAAGAAATCTCATAAGGGGGATGAAAATGGGTATAGTAATGTTGCTGTGATACTGCCAGAATTTAAAAAAAAAAAAAACAGCTCTGGCTTACTTTAAGTCTAACACAATTGCACAAATTCTGTTTCTGAGGACATATTATTATGGTGATTGCTGTTCTCTGTAACTGCTGCCCATTTACAGGCTGAGATTTTCACCTTCTTTCCCTACCTTCAAAGTTGTTTCCTTTCAGAGTTCCTGTTTTCCAAAGTTTTTGTTTATATTTAGCCTTATATACGCAGTGCTTGTGCTGCAGGCAGAGCTGTCATTCACATCAAATGCAGGATGTATTTTATCAGCTTGTTTTTCCTCATTTTGGAAGTAGTGTTTATCCCATTCCTCTTTTTATTCTTCTGATAAAAGAACTCCACCATGGACTGGTCTGCTCTCCAGTGCTGTTTAGCAATTTTATTGGACAGATTTTGATTACATTTTGTTATTCAACAAGGATTATTTTCTCTAGGTCATAGAACATCTATGAGTTCAAGTACCTTTATTATGTGTGCATGTCACTGCATATTCTCCTGATTGAAAGTGCAGTTTTATCCAACACACTTTAAAACTGACAACTTGCTGGTTTTCACCAAGTTATTTATTTATGAGCTGTTGTGTCAGTGGTACAAGACTTTCCCACTCCTTTAACTCCATCCAGAGGATAATTATTGTTGAGTTAATGGCAAAATCTCATGGCAAGTTACAGGCACGGGACTGTTTGAAACCACTGTGAACCAAACTGTGCATGATCATCAGTACTGACACTTATTCTCTTTTAAAGCAGCAGTTCTGGAAACTGTGTCAGTGGACAGGACCATTCCTGAGAGCACCTCAGTGGTGGACACTGCAGAGCTGTCCCCGTGCAGGTCCCCTTCGACGCCGCGTCACCTCCGCTACCGGCAGCCGGGAGGTGAGAGCTGTCCTGGCTCTGCCAGTCCCTTCAAACACAGCTTGGTCACTGTGCCTGTGATCTGTGCAGGGCAGCAGAAAAGCAGTAATCATGTTCAAGTAATCTGGTTTGCTTGTGTTTTTCTTGTTTCTCAGGTGTTAAAAATAAAAGAGCCATTAAAATGTGAAGTGTGCCTGTTAGATTTGAGCGGCAATAATGAGGCATGGAAGCATGTTGAGACTTCAGTATGATTCAGTGTTCTGAAATAGCTCAAGCAGGATGTGCCCAAGTTCAAGACTAATATTGAATCAGTCCTGTTCTCACAGAACTCTCAAGACTCTGACATATTTTTTTCAGCTGATGAGGGGACATATTTTGGGCACCATCTGTAATCATGAAACGCACAACACCCATTGTTGTCAATGGGGAGGGACTGCGTCTGTTTCTTTGTGCAACGCTGAACATTTACAGATGGTCTCACATTATTCATTCCAAAATTTGAAAAAGCTGCTCAATTGAAGAGGAAAGAGAGAGCTGGAGCTCCTCAAATAACTCTCACGTGGCTCTTTGAAATCATTAGCAGGTCTGTGAGCTGTGTCCGTGAAGAGTTAAAATGCTGCCAGCTCCTTCAGGCCAGGTGTCTGGGCAGGTGTTTCATACCTGGGACTGAAACAAAAGCAGAGCAGAGCCTTCTCACTTGTTGCCAGGACACTTTAGATTCAAACCAGTAGTAATGTTATGTGATTTGGTGCATTTGTGGCAAGAAGGCAAGATTTGGGAGCTGGATACTGTGGGCAGTGTCATATTATCTGAGTTCTAGTTAGAGACAATGTTCACAGCACTCCCCATAGAGAAAGTTTGATAAAATCTGCAAAACTCTGCTCATGCTGGGCAGTGACCAGGGAAAATGTATGAATCCAGTAATCACAAGATGGTGAATATGCTTAATTCTCTGACATAATTTTTTGTTTATGCTAATTTTCTATGCCATTGTTTTTTCTTTATATATTTTCTTTTTTCCTTCTCCAATTTGGTTAATATCTTGTTACTCACCCTGGCAGTGTCTTAGATTTTTTTTTTTCTATAGCAACATTAATTGCAACGATATGGAAATATAAACCATAAATATGATTACGATATGTCTACTATCTTTCACAGAAAATCATCTGACAGTTTTAATAAATACAGTGTCCACAAAGTTACAAACATTCCTGAAGATTCTAAGTCTTGTTGCTGGTTGCTAAAAAGTTTGTAGAAGGTAATTTTTTCCTGTCCTTCCCCTTTACAGTGCAGACTGCTGACAACAGCCACTGCTCAGTGTCTCCTGCTTCTGCTTTTGCCATTGCCACAGCTGCAGCTGGGCACGGGAGCCCGCCAGGTGAGGGGGTGTGCTGTGCAGGCAGGTGACACACAGGTGCTCAGGAGGTGAATATTCCTCAAGAACAGACCCCTGTGTTCTCATGAGTGATGTTCTCATCTCAGCCTGGACTAGTGGAAAGTGTCCCTGCCCATGGCAGGGCTGGAACTGGGTATTTTTAAGGCCTTTTCCAACCCTGTTGGTTGATTTCCTAATATTTCTAATCCAGCCTATTATTAGAGGATTAATATTTGATATGTATGTGATCTGCTGGGCATCCCAATAAGATCTTTCTTGGTTTTTTGGTTTGGTTTTTTTTTCCATTTAAAATTTTAAGATTTTATTTTTTAAAATGAGGTTTTCTATGTCCAAAGGTGGTATGCAGTTTTACTTATTGTAAGTGTATACTGTATTTTACTTGGTAAGTAATTACTGACTAAAGGTATTCAGTGCAACATAAAATACTTGATTTAAGTTTTGAATGTGCTGCTTATCTTGCTGTGTACCCTCTGACATATAAATATCTTCCACTAACAGGGTCCTCTCTTAGGTCATGTTGCAAATAAACAACAGTTTTTTTAAAGTCTACAAAATCAATTTCCCTTTGGCTTGACAAATCTTTTGATTTGTCAAATCTTCATTTTGATTATGTGTGACGAAGCACAATCCAGCTGTAAACTCACGCTTGCCTCTTTCCCACTGGAATGTCAGGAAATTGCTTTGAAGACCCCAGTCTCAAAATGAGCTGTGAAAATCTGTGTAAGACAGTAAATGGTCCCTGTGGATCTCAGTGGATTTTGTATCCACCGTGTGTAGAGCTCTGGTCATTAACTGGTGGGTGAGAAGACATCAGGAGAAAATAATTTCTGCATGAGCCTAGATCACTGCTTCTCTTAGTCTTGTGTACTTGCCATGATCTTTAGATTACAAGACAGTGATGATCAGTGTTAGAAACTTTATCAGAGAATCTTTTAGGCTGGAAAATCCCTCCCAGATCATCAGGTTCAGTTTGTGCCTGAATCCAACCTTGTCCCCAGCCCAGGGCTCTGGGTGCCACCTCCAGGTGACACCTCCAGGGATGGGGCCCTGCCTGAGCTGAGGGGCCAGAGCTGGAGGCAGCTGGGGATGGAGCCCCAGCAGTGCCAGCACAGGGACAGCCACTGCCCTGGGGCTGGCACAGCCCAGGGGCCACTGGCCTCTTGGCCACCTGGGCACCCCAGGGCCTGTCCCAGCTTTCCAGCCCCCCTGCCCAGCCTGGAGTGCCGGGTGTTGGTGTGACCCAAGGGCAGGGCCTGGCACTTGCCCTTGTCCCTCACAGCCAAGGCCGTGGCCGATGGTCCAGCGTGTCTGGAGCCCTCTGCAGAGCCCTCCTGCCCTCCAGCAGATCCACACTGCCACCCATGCCGGTGTCACCCAGGAACTACCAGCAGAGCACTCAGTCCCCTGGCCCAGGATTTGAACAGGATGGCCCAGCACTGCTCCCTGGGGACACAGCTGGCTCAGCATTGTCCTTTCTGTCCCCACTGTCCCAGCACTGTCCCAGCACTGTCCCCACTGTCGGCACTGTCCTCACTGTCCTAGCACTGTCCCAGCACTGTCCTTTTTGTCCCCACTGTCCCAGCACTGTCCCAGCACTGTCCCCACTGTCCCAGCACTGTCCCCGCTGTCCCAGCACTGTCCCCAGTGGGTCAGCGCTGTCCTCACTGTCCCAGCACTGTCCCCAGTGGGTCAGCACTGTCCTTTCTGTCCCCACTCTCCCAGCACTTTCCCAGCACTGTCCCCACTGTCCCAGCACTGTCCCCACTATTCCAGCACTGTCCCCAGTGGGTCAGCACTGTCCTTTCTGTCGCCACTCTCCTGCACTGTCCCAGCACTGTCCCCACTATTCCAGCACTGTCCCCACTGTCCAGCACTGTCCCCTCTGTCCCCACTGTCCCAGCACTGTCCCCACTATTCCAGCACTGTCCCCAGTGGGTCAGCACTGTCCTCACTGTCCCCACTGTCCCTGGGCCTGGCCACCAGCCAGTCCTTACCCAGGGGAGATGCCTCTCTGCAGGCCCTGGGCTGCAGCTTTTCCAGGAGATGCACTGGGAGTCCAGGTGACACATCCACACGTTCCCCTCACCTGACAGATGGGTCACCTGGTGGCAGGAGGAGGGCAGGTTGGGGCTGCCTGTCCTACACCCCTTCTGAGTGTGGGGATTTGTGAAGGAGTTTTGAATGAGTTAGAGACAGGACCTCTGAGTTTTTTAGGTGATGTGGTTAATTTTTCTTATATTTTACATAGGAAGGGTGCATTCTGCTCTCATCTTTACCACATGGCTCAGAAGGTCACAAGACTTCTAGTTATGGGACTTTTTAAGGATTTGTTAACCAATAGTCCTTTTTAAGGATTTATTGGCCAATAAACAAAAATATGTATGTTTTTGACCCAATCCCTAAATATTTAATCTTATGGACCCATGCTACAGTGTAAGTTTCTTAACCAATCATGTTATGATACACAAACCTACAGTGCTGCATTGTAATCTTGTTTACCTCTGCAGCTACTTTTATTTTTTTCTGTATCTTAAACTGTAAAACTCTAAACTTTCCTTTACTTAGCTTAATGTGTCTCTGCTTTGAACTATAAATCCACATTATCGCTTCTAGCACCTGAATTTGAGAGCCTTTTTCAGGGTCTCACACAAATCCTGTGTTTAATTCTAAGCTTTGGCTTCTAGGCCCAAAGTTCTGAGAGTTCCCTGCATTTTGTGATTTCAACAGCTGGACCTGGCTCTGTGCTTGTCCTGTATGTGCTGTGTGATCACACTGTCTGATGAACCTGTCACAAACTTCAGTTTAGCAATTTTTATTTGAATGGTGAATATTCTCTGCCTTTGGAATCAGACTCTGAGTAAAATTACTGACAGTATTTGCTTTATGAATTAATCCAGTACATTCAGAGATTGTTTAAGAAGCAAAGTAAGGATGGAAAATACTGGGTTTTCCCACCAGGAACAAATTCAGTTGAAAATACTGCTTTTGTATTGTTAAAATCAGTGTTTTTCAATATTAATAATACTGAAGTATGAGAGAAAATGCAATCTTCAATTATGCAGTCATTAGAAGGAACATCAAAGCTTGGGAATGTTGAAAGGGAAAAACAACATTTCTAACATTTGTAAGTTCTTTTCATGTTGCTGTTTAAGTGAGCTCTTCATTAAAGGTCATTCTCCCAAGTGATGTAAAAAACAGAAGGCTGTGCAGCAAATTTGACAAGCAAATGTGTGGTTTTGAGTCTCAGAAGATTAAGTTAGAGTTATCCAGTGTCCACCTGAAATGAGTAGAAAAACTGAAGGTTACAAACCAGATCTTATACCATGGAATCACCTGTTTTGTAACTTGGTGTAATTATTCATAGTAGAGACAGTACTAAACTTGGAGAGTCATGAAGTCCAAATTTGGCTGAACCAAAATTTGTTTATTTCCCCTGTGTGTTTTACCATGATTGTGAGATTTTTTTATTTTTTTTAAGAGTGCCTTTCTTTTTCCCAGTGGTTCCTGGTGTTGTTTGTTTCGTAGGCTGGACATGACCAGTCAGTGACTCAGTTCTGGGACTGAATGACATTGGTGGGGTTTTTTTGATTTCTGCTCAGTCATTCCTTGGCTTCCCTGCTGCAGACACTGCGACGTGTGTCATTTGCAATACTCCTACGTGGAACATGAGTGGAGGGGCAGATGAAATCCAGTGTTGATTAATAGCAAGTGATGCACACGAGGCAAAACAGACTGAGCTCTGCACCTGAAAGGACTGGCTCAGGACTGAGGATGAGAACAGGCCATTTCCTCAAATGATCTGGGTGCTCAGCAGGAGCCAGAGAGGTGAAGAAAACATCGGGAATTGTATGGAAAGGAAAGACTATTATGGTACCACAGTATAAATGCAGAATTTGTACAAATATTGAAGGGTATGTACAGTCCTGACTGGGGTGAGAGAGTGAGAGCTGGAAAAGTTTGGGAGTTTGAAGTCAGGGATGGGGTGAGGCACGCAATTACTTCTGTGCATGTGAAGTTTAAAGAAGAGAGGGCTGGAGAGTTGATGAGAACATGCTGTAAAAGGCTGGATGGGTAAAAGAGGAGGGTGGCAGCAGTGGTGAAAACGGTGGTGTGGGTAAAGGGTTGGACTCAGTGCTGTAAGAGGTCCTTTCCAACTCTATCAATTCTACAAATCCAGGATTTTCTGGAATGCAAGATGTAGGACATCAGATGGTTTTCATGGGGCCGGGCTTCAGAATTTCAGAATGAGCAGGAGTTCGTGGCTCTTTGTGCCATCAGTAGAAGCTCAGTGAGGGAACAGACTCACCTGGGATCCAGAGTAGAAAGTCACCTGCAAGCAGGGGTGTTTGAGGTTACCAGACTGACAAAGTCGAACAAGACCCACAGCTGAAATCAGTTGGGCATTGTGGGGGAATATTAGGAGGTAAAAGACACCTGTGTGTTTTCTGTCCTCACTGCTCCCTGAAGTCTTCTGGCCATTTTGTGTTTTGGTGTAGTTTTTAAAATTTTATGTGTTAGTTCATTTAGTTATTTATTTTATTTTGAGGATCCTTGGGGTTTACTTCTGATTGTTTTAGTTTGTTTTCCCAGTGTATGAGGCCTTAGCTCTTCTCCACTCCCCATCTCCCAGTTCTGGCTGGGTATACACTGATTCAAGCTGGGTAGCAGACTCACAGCAAGGGCCTTTGCTCACATACTCAGAACCAGCCATGAAGGACATGCACTTATCCTCTGTGGAGAGTTCTGTCCACAGCATTTCAGCATTGCTGTCCCCATGCAATGATAACTTTATAATGTGAGGAGTATGCAAAGCCCTGGACAGCTGTAATGTGATGTACATTGCCTTTACCTCTCCTTAGATAAGCACCTAGGGGAGCACTGTCTGTGGTGGTCCTGAATTGTGAATGAAACCTTTCTGTAAATCAGGGTGGTTCAGGTTCTCATGCCTTTCAGCAGGTGCTTTTTAACTTACTGATTTTATT